CCCAGAGGATATTGGCGGTCAGAGCCATACGCGGATACCGCACGGTGTCCACCGAGGCGGCTTGCGCCTTGGCCGGAACACCCCCGTGGGATTTGGAGGCGGAAGTGCTCGCCGAAGTTTATCGGCGAGTGGCTGACTTCCGGGCGGAGAGCGGATTTCGCCCTCCGCCCGAAGACGTGCGCGAGTGGCGCGAAGCCGCTCGCCGAGCCACCATGGTGAGATGGTCGTTCCGGCTGGAGACTCCACGCGCTGGCTTCGCCGCCGTGGAGGCCCTCCAGCCGGTCATCGCCGAGTGGGCAGGGCGGCAGCACGGGACCCTTTCCTTCCGGCTGACGCAGGTGCTTTCCGGGCACGGTTGCTTCGGAAAGTACCTGTACTCGGTCGCTAAAAGGGAATCGAGTCCCGCCTGCCACCACTGCGACTGCAGTGAGGATTCGGCCCAGCACACGCTGGCGGTTTGCCCTGCATGGGCGACGCAGCGCCGGGCCCTCACTGCAGTCATCGGAGTGGATCTCTCGCTACCGGCCGTAATTCGCTCCATGGCCGGTAGCGACAGTTGTTTTACCGCGGTCGCAACCTTCTGCGAGGAGGTAATCTCGCAGAAGGAGGCAGCGGAGAAGGCCCGGGAGGACGACCTCCACTCGGACCTGATCCGCCGCCGGCGAACCGGGCGGCGGAGGCGCGCTCACCTGCGCCTCATGCCGCCCTGAGTGTGGCCGCGGGTGGACGGGATGGGTTCTCCCCTCCACCCGCATTAGTTGGCCAGCCGCGAGGGGGCGGCGTCCGCGTGTGCCGGACGCCGCCTAAAGAGAGGAAATTTCGAGACGGAGCCCGCAACAGGAGCGGGCCGGCGCTGGGAGGGGTCCAGAAGGCGATAACTACCTGGACCCCTCCTAAACTGGAAGCGCAAAGAGGGCACACCGTGTGGTTTTAGTCGGTTCGAGTCCGACACACCGCCCCGCCGAACGAGAGCCCCGGCGGGGTGACGATCCGAGGGGATTTCCACACGTAAAAAAAAAAAAAAAAAAAAAAAGGGTGACCCTATTTCACCACTTTTATTTAATATTGTAACATACAAAATATGTCATCAAATTAAGAACGTCATGATATCTCAATACGCAGATGACTTCGTAGTATATGTAAGCAACAAAAATCTGACACAGTGTAAAATAAAAATTGAGTCAGCTTTACAAATGATCAAAATATTATTGGAAGATATAGGACTACAATTGTCTTTATCGAAATCAAAATATTGTGTATTTAGCCGAGGATCTAGAAGAATAGTACCTAATATTACTGTAGGAAATTATTCCGTGCCAAGATCAAAGTGCATTAAATACCTAGGTATGTGGCTAGATCAAGGTCTCACTTGGAGTAAGCATATCAACGAAATTGTTGAAAGAACTTCAAAAGCATTAAATTTGTTGAAAGTTTTAGTGGGGTCCACTTGGGGGGTACATCAGAAACACGTCAGAAGACTTTACATTTCTTTGATACGGAGTAGAATTGACTATGCGAGTTTCTTATATGATAACAGCTCCACAGCTCAGGTTTCTAAGTTAGATAAAGTACAGAACCAGGCCTTACGGATTATCGGTGGATTTATTAAAAGCACCCCAATCCACGTTATGGAAAGTGAACTTGGTTTACCACCACTTTTCATAAGGAGACAATACCTTGCATACAAATTTTGCTTAAAGAGTCAATCATGGCACAACAATGTAAATGTTGATCTTTTATGTAAACTTAGCACCTTGTGTCATACTGGGTATTGGCAGAGAAAAAAGAAGCCCTTGCTTGCGTCTACATACGAAGAAACTAAAGTATATAAAGTTCATTGTACTTATCCTTTACTGATGTTCTCATTAAACACATGGGTAACTTATATAAACATCAAAGATATAATAAACATAAGCCTAGATTGTATATCGAAAGGTAAAGCAGAGTATGAATACAATTCATTAAAATATAAGGTAATTGATGAATTAAACAAAAAATATGCGAACTGGCATAAAATCTTTACAGATGGTTCAAAGAAAGATAATACTCTGGGAGCAGCCTATTATGTAGTGTCTGTGCAACATAAAGCTTGTTTTAATATTGAGACTGAATTAACTATAATGTCGGCGGAACTCGTTGCGATTTCAGAAGCCCTATCATTTGTGATTGATAAGAATTGGAATAATACTGTAATTATATCAGACAGCAAGAGTGCATTGCAACACTTGGCTCGATGCGCCTCTGGTGCCAGAGGTGTTTCGATAGCCTATGTGATACTTGAAAAGATACTACAACTACAAAGAAAGGATAGGGCTCTAAACTTGCAATGGATTCCCTCTCATGTTGGAGTATATGGTAATGAAGTGGCAGACAAATTGGCTAAAGAAGGGTGCTCAAACGGAATCGAAATTAATGTACCTCCAGATTACGCGGAAATATTACACAAATTCAATACACTTACCTTTTACAAATGGAAAGAGCATTTCAATAAAATATCTAGGGACAAAGGAATTTGGTATAAGTCTATCCAATCTGAGCCACTTCGTACACCATGGTTTACAGGATGTAATTTATATAGAGATTTAGTTAAGTTAATATTAAGATTAAGATCAGGGCACATTCTATCAAACAAATTTGCATATTTAATGAACAAAACTGATTCTCCAAATTGTAATGTGTGTGGGGTAGAGGAAGATGTACAACATGTTTTGATGGAATGTGTCAAAAACCGTAGGGATAGGGAAATTCTCATGGAGGTATTGGAGCTAAACCCATGTGACATAGGAATCCCCCAAATGATTCTGTCTGCACCTACATCTAATGGAGCAAAGATACTCTGTCACATGACTAAGCCCGCAATGACTCCTCTATGATGTAAGTTTAAGATTGTATATATAATTATGTTGTTAAATGTAAGTTAAAATTGTAACAATGGGGTTGTCATATCCGAAAGGATAAAAACCCCTAAATAATAAAAGAAAAAAAAAAAAAAAAAAAAAATACTTTAATAGTACCAGGTACATCTTGCGGTATCAAACACGCCGCTATATCCTCGTCAGCACCTTCCTCTTCATCAGTCAATGCACTTGGATCAGGAGGTATGACAGCCAAGTCATATTCATTATCATCGCTCTGCTGTAAAATGACTTCAATAGCTTCTTGAAGTCCCTTGTAGCTCGTTTGAGATGTATATGTTTCTTTCTCCATTCTGAAATAAAAACCCTGTTATTTCACTTACGTATGTGGTCACTGTACTCAATCGAGTACAGCAACATTATATGACTGTAGTTTTATTTTAGTAATGAATCATTTATTGTATCGTTTATTATAACTTACTCTGACATTTATTTTATACCAATGAAATAACAAAAAAACCTTATGAACAGAAATAACTTTAAAAAATCTCATATCATTTACTTACCTCCACATTGTTTCGGTACTTCAACTGACACTCCACACTACTTTAACTGACACTTTTTGGTAAAAATAATCACACTACCAGCGTAATACTTTCCAATATACCTGAACAGTATTATAATTAAATAAAATAACAAAGTCACACATCAACAGCCTATACTAGTCCACTGCTGGACATAGGCCTCTCCTTAGAAAGGAGGTTTTGGCCTACTATACCACGCTGGCCAGACGGTTTGGTATAGGGTTTGTTTCAAGTTTTCCTTCTCTTTGCAGTGCTGTTGTCCTGCTTATTTTGCTCCCTTCATCGGCTCTTACGACACCCACGGGATGAATTGGGGTGGTGACAATTTGTATTCTTAATTGTTTAATGAGGGCTTAAACGAACAATCAGAAAATAACATTTCCGGGTTCAACTGCATATTATTATGTTCTAATCCCTCGGTCGTACAGTTGCGTGTATTTGTTTCATTCTCAATATTATTGTGTTGTTCACTTGCGTCCTCGCTGCGACGTCGGCATCGCCGCCGGCGGTCACGGTGCGAACTGTTCGCTGCCTCAGTATAGCGATGGGCGATTGTTGCAAAAAAAAACAATCGACTGAATTGAAAGTTGTGCAGTTGCGCATTCGATTGTCAATTTAGTAGTTCCTAGTCATGATTATTCGAATAACAATCGACGAACTACTAATTGAACTACTAATTTGTACGTAGTAGTACGTACTACTTTGCGTAATCCGCTATGCACGCGAGTGTGCGTGCGTGCGTTTTACTAAAGTCATTATTTTGTAAAAATAGTGTGGTATCACTGTGGTATATGTAAATTGGTTAAATCTAAATACTAAACACCTCAAAAGAAAAAGATGCGGATCGACGCAATATATACTGTGTATATATACATATACACTGTTTTATTTTGTCTACTTAATTACTTAGACATAGAAAGATAAAGTTGACTGATAGATAGGTAAATATAAGAAAATAATAGTTTTTCCTGCTTCATAAAAAATATTTTTGTTTTGTTTATTAGCTAGTTGATTTGAGAAGATCATTAAAATTTTGTTTTACTTAATAAAGTTGTACTAATCGTGTATTGGATCGGACAATACCTCCTTAACCAAGTTCCTACTTCATCGGTAATGTAGATTAGAATTAGATATATTGATTGAACTCTTTAAACCTATGACTAATTTAAGTATTTACATAGTGAAAATTTGAATTCAGATAATTATAGCTTTTTTACTTAATTTTTATTCTAGTCTTACTTAGTTAGAAACTCTTTACTTATCCATCTATTCGTAATATAGGTAGTACCAACATACACTACAAATGGACGTTCCTTAAATTGAATAAACTACGAGTATTGGCGCCAATGCGCGAATCGTTTAATAACTGCAGTAGTAAGTAGTGGCGCACGTACTTTCAACTGTTGATATGTAGCGCATCGCACGTACGCACCTGTAATTACTTATTTAGTAGTACGAGAGCGCTGCGTACCGCGTGCCGTGAGTTGACAACAATCGACTGAACAACAATTGTTATCGACGTTTATCGACTGAACTGAACAATCGAATAATTCGATTACTTTTAGTAGTAATCGCCCTTCGCTACCTCAGTAGCCGGGCGCACGCCGTCAGCGACGGATAAGCGCTCCCCGCCATCCGACATGCATGACTCCGACGACAATGACTCATCGTGCAGTAGTCGCTCCGATGAGCAACGCTGTTTACGTTTGTTACTTCTGTGAAAGTCTTTTCCCATCTTGTCATGCTCCTGCTTGCCATTTGCTGCCACTACTGCAGCATATGACCTATGGTTTGAAATACCTTGTGTATACGTACCGCTGTTAAAGGTGTTTGGATGGGAATTACATGTAGTTTTTTCAAACTGTTCATTATAGCGAGGTGAAAAAGGTGGAACGTACATTGTTAGTGCCCGACGGTATGTACAGTTGAATTCCGACATTAACGCCCTAATTTTCTTTTCTTTAATAAAGGCAGGACAAGATTTGACTAAAGCCATATGGTTGCCTCTGCAGTTGACACATGTGTAGGAGGAAGTTTCACAATTTGGGTGTTTCTCAAGCTTTTGGGGCAAATAAATTAAAGGACAATTTTAAGGCATACTTTCATTGTGTGTCCGTAACGCCAACAACGCGAACATTGGGTAACTGGAAACATAAGGTACAACGGCGACATTGACGTCGTATATTTGAATGTACGGTGGGAGGTAGTTTCCTTTGAAACAAATACGTACACTCTCGCTTAGGGACCACCCAGATTCATAATCTCTCCGCTTTAGCCGTTTTGCTGATAGAATCTCAAATCTTTTATCTCTTTTAATGCACTCTAATAGTTCTAAATCAGATAATTCTAAATCTATTTGCCTGATAATACCATAGGACAAATTTAAACTTTAAAATTTTGACATTCTAATAACTTCGCGGCGCTTTCCTCGTTATAACACCTGATAATAACTCTATAAGAATTCATGTATTTAACACGAGTAATTCCTGTTATATATTCGGAATTAAATAATTTGGCTAGCGCAAATTGTTTAGGTAACTTCTGTGTACTAGAAATACTTATCTCAATCATTTCAATTCTTCTCCTTTTCTCATTATTGCCAACTACTGTCCAGTTTTCGTCATTATCGTCCTCCTATTCTTCTGAAATATGTACATTTTCCTCATCATTGTGTTGTTGGTGGTTCTCATCCTGAATCATGATATCTTCCTCCGTACCTATTTCTCCTATACTAATGTTCTCTATAGCTCCTCTATTTTCGTCTAATATATTCTCACTCATATTTTATATATATATATGCAATAGCGTATCCATCGACGGTGCGCGTACGCGCCGGCGATAGGCAGATAGTAAATACCGATCACTGCACAAGTATTTGCTTGCTATACGCACGTCCTAATCGCTCAACGAGAGAATGGACACTCTTTCGGGCGTTTTCAGTGGCTGAAGATTTCGGGGGCTGAAGCCGCCTTCTTCGGATCGTCCTCCCAAAGCCCGGCAAGCCCAAGCACGTCTAAATCGGCCCAGCGGTTCCGGAGATACAGCCATTAACCGTTTTTAACCGATATTTAACCGATTTAACCGAAAAAAAATCGTTCGGCGATATCTCCGGAGTCCTTGGGCGTACTGTTACATCCCTAATTTTGATGATATTGCATAGGGATGCAATACAATATTGCTAACTTGCAATAATAGCAAAATGACGTAAATTCAACATTGCAGATCAGCAATAAATACATTATTAATACCAATCCTTTTCTTAAATTAGTTAGTTATTATTCTCTAGTGCTGATATAATTTGTGGTCTCTAACTACTACCCAACCTTGGTTGGTTTTCAGCAAGGAATTCTAGAGCAATAATATACTCCGGGTCTATTCTGCCCTTCGCTGGGGTCAATAACAACGCGTATAATCCGTGTTAAGTGGTGTTATATAAGTTTGTGTCTATATTAAGTTGCCAAAAGTTGTGTAGAGTTATAAAATAAATAATTGTGATAGTCACTGGTGTTTTTTTTTAAAGTGCCGGACTATCCAATCTAACATTTGGTGTCAGAAGAAAGGGGATTTTTGAAGTCCCTCTGGTCGCCTACTCCTGACGACGACCTGCTCGAAACACAACCTGGCCTTAACCAGTTCCTGAACTAAGTTGGCCACCTGCTGTCTCCGCCGTCTCTCTGACGCTCCCTGAGGCCACCGCCGACTCCGGACATCGCAGACAACGTGTCATCGAACTCCACTGTGCCCGAGTTCATAATCACTCGAGTACAAGACCACGACACACTTTACACCGACCCGTACCTATTGCAAAATCTGCAACGCTGCAGATTGCGTCACCGCTGTGTCACCGCTCCGATTTCCGCTGCATCCATGACATCGTTCTACATACTGCTATTATTGTGAGTGTTTGCTCGTTTATATTAATTTATTTTGTGTCACTGACATATTTTTGCTAATTTCAGTCTTAATTTTTGCTCCCTTTTTATATAAAAATGGTTAACGAAAGTGATAAACTTGAAAAGAAAAACGCTCAGTGGTGTTCAAGTATACAAAGCGTAGGATCATAGGAATTAAATTTTTCAATTTTGACTAAGTTTATAAAACCTTTCGATGGTGATAGAAACAGGCTAACAGCCTTTATTAGAAACTGCGAAAACGCGTTAAACTTTGTAACCGCTGAACGTGTCACGTGGTCTACTCACGGGCTTACCCAGCGCAGATATTCACGAGATTTGGGTTACCTCAGGGCGCCTTGTCGACCCGACAGCTTGGTCCGAAGCTGGTGGACACTGCCTCCGCCCTAGGGCGACTTTTGCCCAATTTGGGCGGGGCCAGTGTTCCCACGAGGCGGCTGTACGCGGGGGTTGTCCGGTCCATGGCGCTGTATGGTACACCGGTGTGGGTGGCGGCTCTGACCGCCCCGAATAGGGCGTGCCTCTGGCGCCCCCAGAGGATATTGGCGGTCAGAGCCATACGCGAATACCGCACGGTGTCCACCGCGGCGGCTTGCGTCTTGGCCGGAACACCCCCGTGGGATTTGGAGGCGGAAGTGCTCGCCGAAGTGTATCGGCGAGTGGCTGACTCCCGGGCGGAGAGCGGATTTCGCCCTCCGCCCGAAGACGTGCGCGAGTGGCGCGAAGCCGCTCGTCGAGCCACCATGGTGAGATGGTCGTTCCGGCTGGAGACTCCACGCGCTGGCTTCGCCGCCGTGGAGGCTCTCCAGCCGGTCATCGCCGAGTTCGCAGGGCGGCAGCACGGGACCCTTACCTTCCGGCTGAAGCAGGTGCTTTCCGGGCACGGTTGCTTCGGAAAGTACCTGTACTCGGTCGCTAGGAGGGAATCGAGTCCCGCCTGCCACCACTGCGACTGCAGTGGGGGCTCGGCCCAGCACACGCTGGCGGTCTGCCCCGCATGGGTGACGCAGCGCCGGGCCCTCACTGCAGTCATCTAAGCGGATCTCTCGCTACCGGCCGTAATTCGCTCCATGGCCGGTAGCGACAGTGTTTTTACCGCGGTCGCAACCTTCTGCGAGGAGCTAATCTCGCAGAAGGAGGCGGCGGAGAAGGCCCGGGAGGACGACCTCCACTCGGACTTGATCCGCCGCCGGCGAACCGGGCGGAGGAGGTGCGCTTACCTGCGGCTCATGCCGCCCTGAGTGTGGCCGCGGGTGGACGGGATGGGTTCTCCCCTCCACCCGCATTAGTTTGGCCAGGGGGCGGCGTCTGCGTGTGCTGGACGTCGCCTAAAGAGAGGGGAAAAAAATGTTGAGATGGAGCCCGCAAGAGGAGCGGGCCGGCGCTAAGAGGGGCCTGAAGGCGATAACTACCTGGACCCCTCCTAAACTGGAAGCGCAAAGAGTGCACACCGTGTGGTTTTAGTCGGTTCGAGTCCGACACACCGCCCCGCCGAACGAGAGCCCCGGCGGGGTGACAGTCCCAGGGGATTTCCACACGTTAAAAAAAAAAAAAAACAAAAAAAGGGCGCCTTGTCGACAACAGAGGGGTACGGATAGGTGTGCGTGTGGGCAACCTAAGGGACTCTTCAGAGAAACACAACTTACACCTCAGTCATAAATACATGTATATTTCATTCCAAATACAGAGTTATAAACTTAAAATTGAATATATATAAATAGTAGGTATTTCAAAAAAAGATCCCCCAGCGGCGCGCGTCAAGGCCGAGCAGATGTTGCTAGGAGCCTCTTCGTCAGCAATCCTGAAGGTTATTTCCACACCAGCCCGAGTCGGCTATTTATATTAGGTAGGTAGGTAGGTTAGGTATTTATATTAGTGTAATTAACAAGATTACGTGACAATGGAATGAGGCTGACCGCTTGCTTGTGAGCCGCGTGACTGCCAGTGTATCAGATGGTACTTAGGAGCTCGATTACGCACAAGAAGGTTGTGGCCTTCTTGTGCGTAATCGAGCTCCTCCTCCACAAAAGAGCACGCCGTCTGAGAAGTATCTCTTGACCCGAAATCTGGATTAACACTCATATAATCGTTCAGATTGCAGAAAGAAATGACTACAAGAAAAAATAAGATTAACTTACCACTGAAGTGGGTACTTAGGACACAGAATTTACTAAAAATGGATTAACAGACAATCAAAATGCTACTTCAGATCGGAAGACTAGAATCACCAGAGTGTCCCTTGCGGCTGGAAGCCAGACTTATATATGCTCGGTTTGTGAAACTTCTAGAAAGAATCCCTTCTTTATTTAGTCATGAATGGGAGCTCAATCGAATTAATTTTATCATTGAGGTTAACTCGACTCAAATTCAATGGTACCCGCTACCTACCATATCAGGATACATTTTACACCAATACAATTCGACAGGATATCACTACGACATACCGAAAAAACACGCCATCTAGTGGTCCGATGGCGGACGAAGAGACATCAATACTATAGTTACAATCTACTTAGAATAAGCCAACCATAACCTGCAATGAAATGAGTGCGACGCGGGGCGACAGGTGTCACTGTTGACAACTCCGTACGCAATACAAATATATTGGATAAATAACTGTTACACCACCCCCTCCCTCAAAGTATTCCCTGCGTAGCATGCGCAGGGAATATCATCAACAGGGCCAACCTGAGAAATGCTAAATAAATTATATAGCTCGCGATGACCACACTCATTGTGAGCAATACGAAATCCAAACAAAACAATAACTACAAAAAAAAAAAAAACTAACAAAGTCAAAAGACCTTACCCAATGCCACAGAAGTGTCACCCTATTAACTACCCGAATCACTGTATGCTTCTCACATAAGTGAATAACATAGAGTGAGCAGGTGTGTGGTAAAAAGAGACCGCGTGACGCGAAGTGTGCAATCTCACAATCGGCCGGGCGACATACGAGTAGAGACGGAACCGACATAGGGAGGAGAAG